GGCTGCCCCCGGCGCCCGCGGCAAGGGTAGGGCGCCCACGGGCCTGCGCCTCCCTCCAGATGCTCCACCGCGTCCCCAGCCGGTTCCCCATGCTGCTCCCTCACTAATGCTCACTAATAGCTGCGTAGACAGGAGGGGGTTGCTCTGTCTCTTCCCCTTCAATAAATACAGTGATGGGGTTTTTATTTTCTGAAAGGTCAGGGTTTTAAGGTGCCGGCTCCTTTTGTTGCCTTGGGTTGGAATTATGGAAGCGCGCTGCTGGTCCCTGGGGCTTGCTAATGCTGCCAGTCCCTCTGCCCTCACTGAGAAAGTGCCATGCAGATCCTCTCTGTGTCCCTCCGCCAGAGGAGCTGCGGGAGTGCAGCGTGCAGGAGTGGCTGGCAGCGCTGTCTTTCACGGACCCTGACTGCCCGGACCTGCAGCTGACCAAGTGCATGTGGAGGAAATGAGGGCAGCCGTAGAAGCAGCCACTGGGTTCAGGTGCTCGGCCGGGATTTCACACAACAAGGTAGGGTTTTAACACATCCCTCTCCCTGGGGTTTGGGAGACAGTGGCTATGGCGTGGTTGTTGCTGACACAAATACCCCATTACTTGGGGGAAGAGGTGCAGCTCAGTGCACTGAGGTGCATCAGTTTGTTTTTGCTCTCTCTGGTCAACCAGTTGGCAGCACCTGGCAGCCGCAATGGGTGACGCTCGGCCAGCTGCCGAGGCAGCCGCTATGGCTCTCGGTGCGTGACAGCAGCTGCACAAACAAACTGGCTTTGATGCTGCAGCTACAGAGGCTTCCTGCCTGCCGATATGCAGGGTGGTTTACTGAGAGCACCCAACGCTTGCTTCAGCATTGCCAAAAAAGGGCTTGTACAGTTAAGTTTTAAACGATGCAAGTTGTGGCCGAAATAAGAAAAAAGTGAAATAGGTGCTTCGTAACCTCAGAGAGATGAGAGAACTTCAGACTTGTGCTTCGTCCGAGGATGCAGCAGAGCCAGTATGAAGTATTACCAGTATTTGTCCATACTAGAGCTGGTTTGCATTGGCCCACCCTAAAACTAGGGAGGACTGTGCCGCAGAGATGTGCGGGCTTAGGAAGAGTGCTCATGTAGAAACTCCTATTGGAAGGGATGTTCAGCTTGCCCCCTTGCTCTAAAGGGAACTCTGAGGAACAGAAGACTGTCCCTGCTAGGAAGGCCACTGTCTTCACGGGATAAGTAGTTCCTGAGTAGCATGTGACAGGGCCAGGAGCTGGAAGCGGCAGAATGTTGTGAGAGGCAGTAAGCTGCAATTCCCAGACATTACCATGCTTCAAAGTTGGTGGAAAAGGCTGCATCTGAGAGGCAAAGTTACAATAAGCAGCGTACAATAAGGTGACCAGCAGCATCTCCCTGGTTCTGGCAAGTGTTTCCACCAGCATTCTTGCCTTTTCCTAAGTGGGTATAAGGAGATTCTGGTGTGCTGTGCTACCCCTGAATGGCTGTGTAGCTGTACCACGGAGCATGGGGCAGGCATCTCCAAGTCAGAAGCTGGCACGGGGCCGTGCAGAACATGCTACGCTGCTTCCGCAGCCAGCTTTTCTCTGTACGTGTGAACCTTTTTAGCAGAAAGTGGAGCAAGCGAGTGTGTGCTCCCTGCATGTCATTCTGTTGTTTCTAAAGGAAAATTCTCCTGGGATTTGAAAGCTATTTTTTTTATAGTGAGCTAATTGGTTAGGGTAGAGTGGAGACCAAGCTGCTATGCTGGACTGAATCAGTGAATGAGCTATTTTGGACCTCAAGGATAACAATGTGGTTTTGTCAAGAACGCTTGTCCCGAACTCGTTTGTTTGACAGCTTCCATGGTCCGTTGTACAGAGGTAACTACAAGTGTGAAATGTTGACTTCAGGTTTCTGATCCATGAGAGAAGGAGCAGTGGCAGGAGTTGCAGATGATGCTCAGTACAGATGAGGCTGAGGGCCTGGCTGTTTTAGGAGAGTTTTAGAGCTGCAAATGTAGCTGAAAGTATCAAGCAGCACTTCCTGTGGTTCTCACGGATGCTCTGAGTGGCCCAAATGAGGAAAGAAACAAGCGCGTAAACTAGGAGGCCTTTGGCTAAATCGCAGTCAAGTCAGGAAGTAGCCTGGAGTTATTATGGATAATCAGCAGGATGAGACAGTTACAGGAATAACTGTGGAAATGGCAGATTCTGTTTCAGCTTCTTCTGCTTTAGAGAAGTGTCAGAAAAAGTAAATTATTCCACCCCATGAAGTCTTGGTGATTGTTTCAGTTTGAGGCGCCTTAATCGGGAATAATGTGGGTAAGCGTAGAAGAGTCTCCGGTGAAACAAGAGGAATAATCGGACATCAGGAAAAATGACTAGATATGAAAAGCTGAAGGAAATGGATCTTTGTCTGGAGAAGAGTGAGAATGCATGTAAGCCTGTGAAAGGGGCTGTTAATGCAGATTATAGCTTAATATACTGAAAAGGAATTTTGCTTAGTTATAAGATGGGTAATAAAGTTATGAAAGAGGAAATTATTAGAATTACTTAAAAACAGCTGTATCTACTTCAAGCTGGTCTGTGTATTCTTAATTCTGTGTTAGACTACGATGGGAAGGGGAGGTGGGTAGTAAATCGGCTAGAGAACATTCCTTCCAGGCCAGCATTTTTGTATTTTGCAGACTTCCTTCTGTAGCACTGTGCTGTTGTGGACCTTGCAGAGAGAAAGCTTAGTCGCATTGTGAAAAAGCAAGACAGAAATGGAAGGTGAAGGAAAAAAAGGGATCAGAGAGAAATAGGCTGAGGAGGACAGTGGGGATGCTCTGCAAGCCCTAGCATGCTCACCTGGTGCAAACTAAGGCAGCCAGACCCTGTGACAGACCCAAGCATGCGGAGCAGGAGGCCGCCCTTTTGCAGAGCCACCCGTGTGGCAGCAGCAGCGCTGGTCCCTGGGCGCTACAGCCTGCGTGTCCTCCCAAACAGCTCTTCCAAGGGCAGCTCTTAGCTAGAGGTGATGCAGCACGAGCCGTTAGGCAGTGTCTTGCACAACAAAGTCAGTGCAGATTTGTACTAATGGGCCTTCCTGCCTCTCTTGTGTTGCAGACACTGGCAAAGCTGGCGTGTGGGTTGAACAAGCCCAACCGCCAGACACTGGTTCCCTGGCGATCTGTCCCGCAGCTCTTCAGCGAGATGCCCGTTGGCAACATGTAAGTGCTGCGAAGCCACTGGCTTTTGGAAATGCAGCCTGGGGCTCAGGCTCCACGGCTGGAGCGTGTGGTGGGAGGAAAGCCCTGCTTCTCTTCGTTGCTTCAGTCGGTTTCGTCATCACTGCTTTTGTGAGCAGAACCAAAGTGACTAGGAGGTGCAAAACTGTTCCTGACTACCTCAGCATACAGTAATTTGATGAAACAGCCAGAAGAGGGTTTTCAACATTGACTATAATAGCTCGTCAGTGTTTGTAAGAAACAGAAAGGGAGTCCTGCTTTGTTTTGAACATCTGCAGTCTGCACAAGAGCTGCTCCTTGATGGAGGAGAGTTACCAGCCCTGCGGCTGCAGGGGGAACCCTGTTTGAGCCCCAGTACTGCAGGCTGCTCTGCGCTGGTGGGGCAGGGTCCTGCCCACATTGGAAGGGAGCAGGGAGTTTGGGAGCACTTCTTGGAGATGGAGCTGAGCTCTGAGCTCGTTCTGCTTCAGCTCTTGTACATCCTTCTACCCAAGTGGAAGAGCTCTTTTGTTGGGCTCTTTTGCCCTAGAGCCTTGACTACTTCCTTGCTCGCCCTGCTTTCAGCTGCTCCGGGTCAGTGCTTGCAGACCCGTGACTGCGTGAGTTTTCCTGTGATGTCTCATTTGCGATCCCTGTTTCTCCTGTAGCCGAAACCTGGGGGGGAAGCTGGGTGCTGCCATCACGGACATCCTCGGTGTGGAGCACATTGGGCAGCTGACTCGGTTCAGTGAGGCGGAGCTCCAGGCCCCCTTTGGAGACAAGGCTGGGTAATGAAGCACCACTTGCTGCAGTCTGGCTCCGGCAGGACCCGGGTCTTCCCTTTGGTGGCAGGTCGTTCTGCACGGGTAGAAGGGTGGGAGGTTTTGCGGGCTCCCCTGCCTTGTTCTGCACTGTGCCTGTCACAGGCAGGGAGAGAGCTCTGCCCTCCAGGCCATCCCCATGCAGGGGGAGAATCCCAGCGCGCCTCTTGCGCCAGCCCTAGCGCTGTCCTGTCGGAGGACAGAGTATCCCCTGGCACGTGCAGTGGGTGTCCCTGGGCCCCAGGTTCACTGGTGGCCATAGGGGCTGTCTAGCTGCTTTCACTTCCCGTTTCCTCTGTGGCTTCCAGGTCCTGGCTGTACGACCTGTGCAGAGGAATTGAAGATGAGCCCGTCAAAAACCGGCACCTAGCCCAGTCCATTGGCTGCAGCAAAAACTTTCCTGGGAAGACAGCCCTGGCCACGCAGAAAGAGGTAGGAGACGAGGGTCTGGCCTTTGGACTGGAGGAGACCAAGACGCTCAAAGCTGGGAGTGGCTGGCAAAAGCTGCTGCTTTTCCATGTCCTGAAACTGCGCCTGGGGGCTGAGTGGGAGGGGGTGGCTTAGGCCCCAGGAGCCAGGGACATCCTCTCTAGACAGAAGTGCAGTGACCAAGTGCTGCACAGAGAGGTCCAACCTTGTCCTATTCTGCATGAGCAAAAGTGGCCCTTGCCCTTCAAAGGGTGTTCAAGACTTCACAGGCTGGTGGCTAGAAGGGAGGTAAGTAGCCTGAGGAGGGAGCGAGGCCACTCCTTCCTGTTAGCTGCAGAGGGATCCACTCTGTACTCTTTGTAAGAGATACAAAGATGCTAGGGCTGAACCCTCACTGGGATGGATTTCTCTGGGAGCGCTCCTGCTCCTGGCCCTGGTGGCAGTCCGTGTGTCATGGCCTGGCTGCCATGATGTTCCTCAGTGGTTGCCACGCTGCTCGTGTGCCAGCAGTGCCCCCAGCACAGCCCCGAGACTGTTCTTACCCTCTGTGTGTTGTGCAGGTGCAGCACTGGATCCTGCAGCTCTCCTTGGAGCTGGAGTGCAGACTGATCAAGGACAGGAGCCAGGTAGGGAGAGGGGCGCGAGGGCCTTGTTTTCCTCACAGTGGCCGAGGGGGCCAGGCCTCCAGGAGCCCCACAGCACATCTGCACTTTGAGCTGGTTGCAGGGGCAGGAACTCTGCCTGCCTTAGACATGCGGCTCTGCAGTGAGCCCTGAGCCAAGAGGTGAGCAGGAGCCCAGCAGGAGGAATGGTTTGTCCCTGAATACTGCAGCGAAGGATGCTCCTGGGCCCGTGCTTTAGGACACTGGGATCTGGAAGCTGCTGTGTGCCTGTCCTGCCGTGGTGCCCGTGCGTTGCAGCTGCAGCACTCTGCTGAGGCAGCCTTGCCCACACTGCAGGCTCGCAGAGGAGTGAGCTGTGTTTAAACCCACAGCTATGAGTGTACAGGCGACAGTGAGGTTATTCTGCTAGCTTCGATGTTGCAGGGAGACCCAGAAAAGCTGCGGAGCTGACTGAAGAACAAGGACTAAATGTTTGCTGTGCTGTGTGCTGCAGCTGTATGAATGTTTGCTGTCCCGCATCTTGTCCCTGCGAGATTAGGCCTGGCAGGACAAGCTGCCATCTGCCATTCAGCATCGAGAGGCAGCAGCTGATAACGCATGGGCGCAGCAGCGCGAGCGTCTCCTCGGCCCTCCCTGCTCTACCCTGCAGGCGTCGCTTGTAACGTGGCCGCTTCTCTCTCCGCAGAACAACCGCGTGGCCAAGCAGCTGATGGTGGTAATCTGCGCGCAGGGAGACGTGCGGGTCTCGCGCTGCTGCGCTCTGTCCCGCTACGATGCCCAGAAGATGAGCAGCGACGCCTTTGCCATCATCCAGAACTGCAACGTGGCTGGCGCTCACCAGCCCGCCTGGTGAGAGCGGGGCAGCAGTTTGTGTCCCCGTGAGGGCTTGCTCCGCTGCTGGGGTGCAGGATGAGGCAGACCTGACGGGTGGGAATGAGAATTGTGCTGAGGGGCTGGGATGGGAATGGCCAGCACAGGCGCAGCAGAGCACAGCGCTTGTTTGTGGAAGGGCAGCTGCGAGAGCCAGGCTTCTTCCTAGCCCCACATCTGGCTGGACTCTGCTAACTTCTGTGCTTGAAACTGCAGCTGCTGTGGTGGGATCCTGCCTGTGAGCTTTGGTCATGCTGCTCGAAGCCCCACCGTAGATGACCCTGCTTCCCAGGCTAGTGTCTGAGCTGATGTTGACTTGTCCGTTGCAGGTCTCCGCCGCTCATATCGGTGCTTCTCTCTGCCAGCAAGTTCTCGAAGGCTCCCACGCTCCTCTCTGCAGACATTGCCACCTTCCTGACCAGTGATGCCCAGTCTGACAGCACTGCCACGGCCAGCAAAAACACCGTGTCCCCTCGGAGCCCCAGGGTGAAGTTCTTCAGGAGCCCAAGCAAAGAGTCCAGGCAGAAGGCACCTGGTGCTATCGAGGCGTTCTTCCGGAGGGCAGCAGAACGGCAGCAAGCGCAGCCGCCCGTGCCCAGCTCCCCGGAGCGTCAAGCGGGAAGTGGTGCTGGCCTCGCCTCTGTGCAGTGCGACCTGGGGTCCCCCGTGATGTGCAGCCCTGGGGAGGGGAGCTCTGCCTCTCCTCGCAAGAGGCTTCTCCAGGAAGAACCACAGCCTGATGTTACACAAGCGCCCTCCACCCTGCCAGGCTCCACCATCCCTTTGAAATTAGAGCATGCTACAGTGGGGAATGAGCAGAATTTGCCCCCATCTCCCGAGCTCCAGCCCTTCCCTCACGCCTCGCCCGGGGACTGGCAGCAGTGCGAGAAGTGTGGCCAGCGTGTGCTGGCCTGGGAGCTCCCAGAGCACCTGGACTACCACTTTGCTGTGGAGCTGCAGCGCTCTCTCCTGGAGCCCGGCTCCCCGACGGCCCCAGGAGCAGCTCGTAACCCCAGGGCTGCAGCATCCAGCTCTCCTGCCAAGAGCAAGCCCAAGCCTCAAGCTGCCTCTAGCGCAAAACGGCCCAGGGAAGGTGTGACACGAACTCTAGATTTTTTCTTTAAACGGTTATCTCCTTGACTCCCAGCCACTCCGGGAATTTTATATAATCAGTGTTTTTTTAACTACATCTGAAAGGGTTTTTTATATATATACTGACAGGTTTTAACGCATTACGTCCAATAAATTATCTTTACCCCCACTCTGAGATGAACTGGAAGTCAGGGCTGGTGTGTGGTGGTGGGGTACCTGGCCTTGCTACCAGCCTCTGCCCAGGCACCTGCATCTAGCTTGGCCTGCATTGTGCTTTCACCTACCCCTCCTGCTGGGAGCTGTGCCCAGAGCTGCACCTCGCTCTTAGTACCTCCAGCACTTTCCTGGGGAGGCAATAGCATCTCCCCACACTGTGAAAGTGTGAAAACTGAAGTACAGAGAGAGCAGCTTATCCCAGGCTGGCTCTGTCCAAGTCTTTTCTCAAACCCCTATGTATGTGAGCATGCTGAAGCCTCCACCTTATGAGAGTTCTCTCCCAGGGGTGCCCTTACTGTGTGTTTTACAGCTGGGAGCTTACTCGAAGGTTGCTTCTGCCCCTCCTGTGCTGAGGGCAGATTGATTTTTCTCCCATAACCCCCAGCAGGGTTTCTCTGGTAGACTTTGGCAAGTCCCTGGATGCAGTGGTCTGGCCTGTGATGCTCCTTGGGGGTATTACAGGCAACCTGATTGCAGCGTTCTAGTTTGATTCTGTTCTGGGGAACATCTTGTCCAGCTCTTGGGGCCATGGGAGAGAGTGCACATGAGAGGGGTGGCCTCAGCCCGCTGCAGCACAGCAGCAGGGGAGCAAGGGGGCACCATGGGAGCGAGGCCCTCCAGCACAAAGGAGGCTTTTGCCCTCTACCTCCCAGTAGGGCTCAGCTCCAGCTGCACTGTTGGCTGCCTAGAGCCCTTGGGTCTGTTCCAAAGGCAAAATCGCTGCTGCCAGTAATTCAAAGGCAGCTGAGGGCAGAGAAGGGAGCTGGCCACGTCAAAGCGGCGCTGGGTGGGGTGTGGAAACACATTGCACAGAGTTTCATCAACTGCAGCTTCCCCTCCCAGGAAGGGGAAAGAGCGAGCGCCTCGGCCAAGCCTTCTGCAGGCAGCAGATAGAGCCGGCACTGCTACCCGTGGCAGCGCGGCCTCCCTCCCGCGCGGAGCTGCGGAGCCTCCTGCCCGCTGGGACGGAGCCTCCCATCTGCGGAGTCGCTGTCCCGCACCGGGATGCTGCTGCACGCCCGCCCGTGCGGCTCCCGTGCTGGCACCACACTGCTGCAAAGCTGCCATCAGCAGGGGCAGAGGGGATGCACTGAGTGGTGGTGACGGCCAGGGGAAGGAATGCAGGAGTCTCTCATTAAGGCCAGGCCTCACGTTCCAAAGGGACGAGTCTCCTGGTGTGGTCACGCAAGGAAGGGCAGCCTGGCAAGCAGGGCTGCCTTGTGCTGCCGTGACAGCACCTGTCTCATCTCCTACGCGTCCGGCAGGACCGGCCTCAGCAGGTGGCACTGCCCCACACAAAAATAAGCCCAGGGCAGACACGGCCCTCCGGCCCTTTGGTGACACAAGTCACCTCCAAGGGGAAGCTTCTCTGTCCCTACTTGGAACCAGGGGAGTAACCTGTTTTCACAGACAGGAGGCACTTGCAAACTGATAAGCTCAAAATATTTTAAAAACAAACCCTGGGTTAGATTTGTGCCCAAGGAAGCAGCCCTTAAAGGAGGCTCTGGGGTGGCGGGGGAATCAGTGGCTGGGAGGAAGCACAAGCCATGGTCCCCCCTGCCTGTACGGGCATAAGAGCTGCGCTCAGGGTGCCACGCAGAGCAGCAGGGCTGGGAGCAGGGCACTTACAGCTCCTACATTGCATCCCTCCTACAGGGAGGGCTGGAGGGCAGCCCTCTCCCACCACAACCCAGCTCCAAGGGCAGCAGGGTGAGAGCCCCACTCTGCACTCACTCACTGTTCGACTCATCTCGATAAAATGTCTTTATTCTGTACATTGATATAGAGATGCCTGGGGAAGGGGGTCCACCCCCAGCATTAGAAAAGCTAAAGACAACAGGAGAGCAATGATGAAGAGCAGGGCACCAGGAACGGACGCGCCACAGCCGGCGGGAGGGCTGCCCTTTTGGAGATGGTCGCTGCACCTCGTGCCTGCCTGAGTGCCGAGGATGCCACGGCAGCTGCAAGCAGCTGCTTCCGCACCCCAACCCAGGGCTGTTCTCAGCCAGCCACTAGCACCACAGGGAAGAGCCTGCTGGCAGCTGGGGCCGATCCAGCTCCCAGAGCAGTTGCTGTAACACCCAGAGCACGACCAGGGCGGAAGGGAAAAGGGACCATGCTGGAGCAGCTCCCCTGAGCCCGTGGGTGCTGGGCTGCCAAGGAGGAGGCAGGTTTTCAGCTGGGTCTGTTCTCCCGGGGGGCAGGTCGTGCCTGTCACTCCCGCTCCTGACGCTGCTGAGCTGCCTCCCAGTCTCTCCCAGGCAGGATGGCCTTTCGTCATCCCCGCGTACCCACCACAGTCACCGACTGCGCATCTCCTTGCAGGGGCAGCCCCGCAGGGTGCTCCGAGGCAGCCGCCGACGGGCACAGGCTGCTCCCCCCAGCACGGGGGGAACCTGCTCGCAGGCAGGCGGGTGCCTTTAGGGGCCTCTCGCCCAGCGCCCCTACCTTTGCCCTGGCAGCCAGCAGTGAAACCAGCAGCCCCCGTGCAGTTGCGCAGCTCCTACTGCTCCCTCCAGGCTGAGTGTGGCCTGCAGTAACCGCCACGCAGGGCGCAAACGGGGAGTCGCAGAGTAGCACGTGAGGGACAGCAGTGCCCCACTTCTTGTGCACAGAGTCCTTGCTGGCGACGCCAGCCTTCTTCCAACGGTAACCCCGGTGGCCAGGGAAACAAAACAAGTCTTCCTTTAGGAGAAAGGGAACTAAAACCACGCCACTGTCAAACCACATCTCTACAATAAAGTCACCTGTTTTTTTGTCAATAATACAGCCTGCCCTGCTCAGACGTTAAGGCAGGCATCTGAAGAGCAAGCTGGGCTGGGCCAGGGAGCTCACTGTGAAATGCTGCTGCCCACTCGAAGATGAAATCTGGAGCTGAACCTCCGTGGAAACAACTAGCACGCACCAGCATCAGCCCAGGGACCCCTCCGCTCCACAGAACTGCCTCTTGATTCGGACGGCAGCTGCTCGGTGGCCGCAAGGAGCAGAGGTAAGTGCAAATTCCACCTTCACGCCGCCGTGCGAGGAGACCATGCCGCTCGGAGCAGCCCCAGCCTCCCGGGAGGCACAGGCGGGAGGCTGCAGGTGCGCACACGTGTGCGTGTGTGCGGGGAACAGGACGCTCGGCCAACAGCAAGACACCCAGGTTACAGTAATGCAAAACCAACACACAAATGGACACTGCAGATTAAAGCCAACCAAGAATATAACGGTTAAAAAAGTGTCCTGAATGCATTCTGAAAGGTCCAGCCAAGCCCCCATGGTGGGAAGCAGGGCCTCTTCCATCCCTCCCCAGAGGGATGTGCTGCAGGACTATTCTGGATCAAGCTGGAACGGGACCAGATCTTGTATCACAGATGGAAAAAAAAATCCCTTCACTGCTAGTCTTCAAGGACTCTGCTCCTCCCAACCACTAATTTTCAAACAGTAAACACAGCCAGAACTTGCCTGCCCAAGTCTGCAGGTACCTCTGATCTCTTCCGGAGGGCAGGGTAATCAAAGCAGAAGGCAACATGGAGAACATGCTTAACTTGCCTCTTGTACGGCACTGAACGCAAGGAACTCTCCAAGACTCCACCTCGCAGCACAGAGGAGGGACGCCCACGCTGGAGCTGGATAGCAGCAGCTCCAGGCACCACTCAGAGAGCCAGGGGAGCTTCCGTCCTTCTCCCCGCTTGTTGGCGAGCGATCTCTCTGACCCAGCCGTAGTCAGAAGCTCCGTTGTCCAGGCCCCAGGGACTCCTCCAGGCCATTTTCTTTGGTGGTGATGGCTTGGAGGTCAGTGACATGCCCAATGCCTTTGGTGACTCCTTCACGGAAGAGCAGCTTGGCTCCGATCTTCAAGTATTCAGGATGCTTGATGAATCTGAAGCGGACGACTGCCTTCTCTCCCGTCCGCAGCTTGTCCTAGGGAGACAAGGGGGATGCCTGAGCCCACACCTCTGCTGAAGGAGACTTGGGTGTGGATGCTAAAAGGATGAGACAACTGGTTGTCTCTCTCAGGCTTGCAGAGTTTGAGCCCTTCCCATCACTGTCTGCATGGTGCGAGACAGGAACACAAAGCACCGCAGAACGGAGAGTTTGCCTCCCTTCCCAGTCCTGCTGGGATCCAGTAGGCTTATTTTGTGATATGGAAATTCTTTAACATTGTTAGAGGCAAATCAACTACACAGGCAGGATAAAGGGACCAGTGTGTTCTCTGAAGGGACACAGATGTCCAAGATACCAAAGAACTGGACTTGACAGTCCCATGGCCCCTAGCCTTACTGACAGGCACAGTGGAATCTCAACAAGGCCCACACGGAAGTCCACATTCCCCCCTTCCTCCCAGGCCTACCTTTCCGTGGATCTTCTCTACAATAGCAGTCTGCCGCACGTTGCCTACGTGCACCGTCACCTGAAAGCCCTTCCGGAAAGTCGTGGCATGGAACAGCAGCACGATCTCAGCTTCAAACACTGAGCAGATGGTGGGGTTCATTTCTGGGCTCACCATCACCATGCCCTGCACAACAGCCCAAAACTCAGACCACTCAGGGCCAGCCCCTTTGCCAGCCCCATATCAAACACACACACTTTCCCACTCTAGGACTCGGCCTTGTTTCCCCTTCTCAGCCCTGCTCTCCTCCTACCTCATAGCCTGGCCATTTCCTCCCTTTCCAGCAACTTTTCTGCACACCCCTCTACTTCCTTCCCCCATTCCCAGGGCAGGTTCTCCTGGGAAGCCTCCAGCCCTGCTCACCGAGCACCTTGGCAGCTGATCTTACAGCTTCTGGAGCAGTGAGGAGCCTGGCGGCAGCTGGACTCACCTTGCGCAGGAGGGAGCGGTCAAAGGGCCCGTGGGGCAGCGTGGCTGCCTGCCCTGCGCGCAGCACCCGGCAGGCCGAGCGGTTGCGCTGGATGCTGCACACCTTCAGCCGCAGGAACTTCCCGTCGTCAGTGGGACCGACCACCAGGTTCTCCCCTTCTCGGCAGATCCCGCTGGCAGGACACCAAAGCAGGAGAGATCAGCAGGGGACAAGAAAGAAGCCACATGCTGCAAGGTTAACCTGCACCAACTCCTTTGGGCCAAGGATATGAACATCTCGGGCATGTGATGAGCTAACAGGGATAGAAAGCTGGCAGGAACAGGGAATTCCTACAGCAGCAGCAAAAGCTGCACTATTACTCCTTAGAAAATGAACCGTTTTCCCCTCCCTGCCTTCTTGGGACAGGTGCAATTCTGGCTCCGGTGCTCTGACACACTGCCCCCTTTCTCCCGGACAGACTGCAGTTGGCACCCACTCTGCACGGACACCCTGAGAACCAAACTGCTCTGACCGCGGCTGGGACACTGAGGGACAGTAGCCTTCTCATGGGAGTGACATGTGACAACTCCTGCTGGGATCAGCAGATTTGCTTTGCACATTTACTTCTCCCCCTGCTTGAGGAAGGAGGAATGCAGCACCTCGGGGTGCTGGCTGACCTCTGCTGACTCCGGCTCCTACTAGGCCTTCTTTCAGCATGCTACAGGTCACACTGCTAATCTAGCAACTTGAGAGCAGGGTCCTCGCTTGCCACCATGCGAGCAAGGGCTTTTCACGGCACCTCCCAATGTCCTGTAGGGCTTTGCCCTCAATCAGCTCTGTTATAGGGCAAGAGCCAGACTGATGTTGCCTTGTGCTGCTTCCATCTGATACAGGAGGTGAGGACTGGACAGCTTCCACTCTGCTGCTCTCTGAGCAGTGGGTGACTCCAGCCTTGCTGAACTCTGGCAACCACCCACACTCACACTCATCTATCTGCCTGGTACTACTTACCTTGAGAGAGTTCCTCCCACAACAGTCCCCACCTCTGGCACAGTATAGATTTCATCGACCTGCAGGAAGGCAACCAGAGGAAGCTGCTCAGAGAGCTGGCAAACAGCACTCCAGAAGAACAAGCTACCCTCGCCATGGGTAGAGGAAGGGGAGCGCTCTGATGGGCATCAGAGGCCATCTCAGAGCTTTCACCAGCTCCCACTATCTTCCCACTAGAGGAACCCCAGCTTGAGAAGTGTAAATCAGGGTAAGGGTCTTTTCTGTGAGATGGGCATCCCTTGGCCACAACAGGACTGAGGCTAACAGGCCTTTAGAAGGAGCAAGCCCACTCTTTAATGTTTACCCACAGTCTGGGGGTTTGTCACATGTTCCCCCATGGTGTTCTCAGCTGGCTGGCACACATCATAGTAACGGGCACAGGAGCGGACGTAGAGCTCAACTACCTTCACATACCTGAAACTCCGTGAGTTGTTGCATTAGTTCCTCCTGCTCTTTACTGTTGGTCAGTGGAGGAAGGATGTTGAGGAAGACTTTCAAGAGATCTAGGTTCTCCCCAGAAACGCTGGACAGTGTGAAGATTGGGGTGATGCTGCCAAACACACACACACAGGGATGAGTGGAAGGCCAGAGTGTAGGTGCAGAAAGTGACTGTGATTCTGAATCTACAGAGGCCAGTGGGAAGACAGAGACCACAGTAAGAAACTGGACCACTGTGGAAAGGTGTGTGGACTACACATAACTCTGCAGAGACCCTGCCTCAATGCTTGGTTGAGACACCCACCACCTGCCAGCCCACGCTTCTGTCCTAGAGATGTGACCCCAACTCAGCCTCTAGCACCTTCTGCTCTGAGAGCCCCAGAAAAGCCTAGCAGGGAAAAATGTCCTCTTGGAGAATGTAAAGGCAGGCAACCTGCAGATAAGGAGCCAGTACGTTCAAGATGCCACCTGCTTCCCTGAGGGAGGCTTGCCCAGCTCCATACAGCAGCTTGGGCTGACTTATATGTTTCTAGCAGACAGAAAAAAGGGTCCCTTACTTGGGAGACTGTGCAAACTGCTGTGCTGCTGTGACCGCATCGTCATCGGAATTCACGAGCAGGGGGAGCTTATTGCAGCCTGGCTGCTTCAGGATTCGCTCCAGCTGCTTCACTGTCCGTTCCACAGTGGCTTTTGAACACAAGTCGACTTTGCTGATGACAATGAAGAAAGGGACCTTGAGGGCCATTGCCAAGCCCAAGTGCTCTCGCGTTGTGCCTGCTGCAGGAGGAAAGTGAGAGCAGTAGTACTCATCAAGTATTCATCTGCCCAGATCAGGCAATGGAAAAAGAACATTATTCTTTTAATCAAAACAAACATTCAACTAAAAAATACTAAGGTGACCAAGATTTCTTGAGCCTGATCTCTTTGCTCTCAGAAAGATGTAGTAGTTTTTCTTCATGGACCAGAGTTTTCCAGAAAACAGCCATTAAAAAATGTGGGAGAACTCCAGTTGCCTTTTTACAAGGCTCAGGCTACTCATGCATATGTCCAACCATACGTCCAAGAGATTTTTTTTCAACAAATGCACCCTCAACTGCCAACAAAAGCCTCTCTCTCCTGAGCATCATTTCCAGTAACCTGGTATACAGATGACAAAAGGATTCCACTCTACCACTTCCCAGACATTTTTAGGCACTGGTCTACAAGAAAACAGTTTTTTTTTCTTTTTTCTGACATTAATCCCCAGCTAACCAGGATCCTCCCAGCCACCCTCCATTCATCTCACACTGCTGTCAGTCTCTGTGTGTTCCTCAGCGCAGGCAGCACAACACTCACCAATGCCGGTGTTGGCGCTAACCACCAGCATAGCAAAGTCTGGGCAGTAGCTGGTGAGGCCAAAGATGGTTGTTTTCAGGTACTTGTGGTGGCCAGCCAGATCAATGAAAGTGATCATCTTGGAGGAGCTCTCACAGATCTCTTCTGCTGTCCGGGAGTCGCTGTAATTCACCACCTGAGGAACAAGAGGACTCAGCAAGAAAAAGCACCACCAGGCAAGCAAAGGAAGAGCCTGGCCTTATTAGACTACACCAATCTCAAAAGTTACTGAATACAAATCATTCCCCACAGATGCAAAAAGCTACATTTGTTGCAAATGGACAAGCAGCACTGGGAACACAGAGCTGGGCAACCTCTCTCCCACCATGTTTCCCTCACTGTTGTTAATAGTGACAAGTCATACTCTCCTT